GCAGCAAAAGATGGCCCAAGTTCTTGGGTCCCTGCACATGCATGGGAAACCTGGAAGAAGCTCTTGGCTCTTGGCCTCAGATAGGCCCAACTCTGGCCATTGTAGCCATTTGGGGAGTGAACCAGCAGATGGAAGACCTTTCTCTTTCTGTCTCTCCTTCTCTCTGTATCTCTACCTGTCAAATATTTAAGAGGTATAGCTACAGACACAGGGAGAGACAAAGAGAAAGGTCTTCTACCCATAAATCTTAAAAATATAAATATAATTTGTATTTTAAAAATATTTACTTCATTCTTAGTATACAATCAATAAATTTTTTTTTAAGGATCCCAAATATATTGGGTTAGAAAGAACAGAGTTAGACATGAGACTAACAATTGAGACTGGATATAAATGTATCTCAATAAAGAAAATTTTAAATAATCATGGATTACACAGAATTATCAAAAATAACATAAAGGATGTATGGTGAATCAGATATCTGTAGAATTCCTTTCAGCATAGAATACCTGAACATGTGAGATAACAGGCAAATATATTCTAGGTACATGGCCAAGTTGAGAGGACAGTAAGGTTTTTTTTTTTTTTTTTCTCAAGGAGCAAAACAATCAGTAAGCATGAATTCTGAGAGGCATTATAGGGCTGACTCTCTGGCACTTGACGGAATCTGCATATCCTTGGTTGCCAATATTAGGTGAGTAGTGGATAAAGCTTGGGCGCAAATAAAGCCACCTCCATTTAAAGAGGGCGCTTTCAAAAGACAATTCACTCACTCCAGATGGAGTTCTCAGACCTGGTTCTATGGAAGGGGAAATGAGAAAACTGTCACCCTGTGAGAACTGTACAGCACACACCTGCCTTTACCTGGTGGGGTAGCTTGTGTCTTCTAAAAATAGCCATAAATCAGCATTTCTAATCCCACATGCATTTCTAGAACCCTAATGACCTGCCCCAGGAGGTGGCATCTACTGTTCTCCTAGTTATCTGGACCTGACTTGTGAAACTGCAGGATTGCTAGAGCAAGGTCATAAAAGGCAATACGGCTATCCCTCGCACAGCCTCTCTCTCAGGACATTGTCCAGGAACCCAGCCACCAGCTTGGCAGGAAGCCGAAGCCACACGAATGTTCTGGCCAGCATCTCTAAGTTGCGAGCTGACAGTCACAGGTGTAAGTGAACGAGCCTTCAAGTAATTCCAGTCCCCAGTCTGGAAGGTACTAATCACCATTGGGCGGATAATTGTGCTCTGTCTGAAATCATGATACAGAAAGTAATATTGTTTTAAGCAACTAAGGTGTAAGATGATTTGTTATTCTGCATTAAACAACTAATTCATTGGATTTGGTTTTCCATTCCAGGTTGAGCATTTATAACCTGAAAATACAAAATCTGAAATACAATTTTTTTAAATTAAGGATAGGTTACTAGAACAAAGAGTAGAGTCAGATGTGATTGCAGAAACTGAAATTATTAGATGTGCTTAATACATTTGACAGATAAAAAGGAGATATCAAAGTATGAGAAAGTTAACATTGTAATATTTGTATCAAAAAGCTCTAGATATGGGAAACAGATTAAAGGACATTACTCATCATCTCAATATCATCTGTAAGACCTTAATTACAAAACTACTAACAGACATTACAGGAGGTCAATGTAAGTGAAGCAACATACCATATATTTATCAATAGACTCACTGAAACGCCAATACAAATGCCAGTAAGATTTTTCCTTGGACATGAACAAGCTAATTCTAAAATGTATTCAGAAGAAAAAAGGTCAAAAATAGCAAACATACCCCAAGGAAGAGAGTGCTGATCATATGAGATAACGGCATTATGAAAGCTACAGTAATTAAGACAGGAATGTCAAACTGATTACAGAAACAGTATACAGAGCAGAAATAACATGGAAATGTGATATATGAGAGTTGACAGTTCAATTCAGAGGATGGGTTTTTCCCAGCTCTGATCTTTCCTTCCTTCTTTATATTGCTACCAGAATCAGCTTTCCCAAAACACAGAACTGATTGTCACTTTTCCACCAAATGCATTCAATGACATCCAGGATATGCGTATCTTAACATGTATTTCAGTGGTTACATAAATTACAGAAATAGTAGATTCAACAAAGTGAAACAGGATTTTTTTTTAAATAGTCAGTTCTCAGAGATGTCAATATTCTAAGGATTGTGAGCCTCTAAATGGGAGACAGCACATCTGGCTAATTTTCCTAGACTTCTCAGGCCAAGGCATTCTTCTTTCTTTTTTTTTTGTTTAAACTGCAGCTTGATGTTTAAACAGTGCTTCTTAAAACATAAACTGGGAATCAATACAGATATTTCATCGACTGACATGGCATTCAAGGCTCTGTGGATTGGGTGTAATGGTTTGGAACCCAGAAGACGCACAGGGCCCCAGCTCTTTCACTACAGCTGTTCACTTTTGTATTTTAACTTGTGATTTAGCTTCCAGATTTGTGAAATGGGAATAACAATAGTACCTTGCTCACAGGGTTGTTGAGAGGATTAAATAAACCAATAACAACAACAGATTTTTTTTTTCCTGTTCCTCTCCTATCCTTAAACCAGAGATACATTTAGAATTATTTACTCAACCAAGACTTGACTAACGCCTTTACTACCCTAAGAATGACTTGGCCCTTCCTACGTATCTATTCCTATTTTTAAAGCCCAATTCCAAAGAAAAGCTAACTGGAGATGCTTTCCTTATTCTAAGTTCCTGAAAACAGAATGAATGATTTGCTCTTTTTTGAGTCATACTACTTTCTCCATCACACCACAAAAGCTTTGATTATACTATTATTAGCTTCCTATTTTTCAGGTTAGAATGGTTAAGTCAGAAGTGTGGAGATCATTTCATGCACATGTTATACAACATAAGTAGGTTATTTTAAAAGAAATTTTAAAACTATGAGAGAACAATTTAAAATGGCAAGTGTTATTCAAAGTATATAATGAAAGATAACAATCTTTATATGTTTTATTTATTGATTTTTTATTTATTTTATTTAAAAAAATTTTTTTTGACAGGCAGAGTGGACAGTGAGAGAGAGACAGAGAGAAAGGTCTTCCTTTGCCGTTGGTTCACCCTCCAATGGCCGCCGCGGCCGGCGCACCCCGCTGATCCGATGGCAGGAGCCAGGTACTTCTCCTGGTCTCCCATGGGGTGCGGGGCCCAAGCACTTGGGCCATCCTCCACTGCACTCCCTGGCCACAGCAGAGAGCTGGCCTGGAAGAGGGGCAACCGGGACAGAATCCGGCGCCCCGACCGGGACTAGAACCTGGTGTGCCGGTGCTGCAAGGCGGAGGATTAGCCTAGTGAGCCGCGGCGCCGGCCATGTTTTTTATTTAAAAAATTTTGATTTCTGGCCCCGAATTTTTGTGAATCTATTGAAAACAGGGAGAAATTTTTTTTTTACAAAACACACTGTACATATAATATTTTGCAAATAAAACCTGGGCCTCTTTCACAGATCTTGAAAACAAACTTGCTTATAATTTGATTCCCACAGTTGTAGAATCAAAATATAAATTAATAGCTAAGAAAACAATGGGCCTATCACTTGCAGCTCTTTGCCATTAATGTCCTTAACAGAACACAAAGTGAGAAGAAAAGTGTTTAGACCTAAATTCTCAATAAATACATGAGGTGGTGTAATCTTATGGATAACAATTTTAAAAAATATTAAATCTAGAAAATTTATGAAAAAAATATTAGTCGGGGTGGGTATTTAGCAAAGCAGTTAAGATGCTGCTTGGTTTGTCTGCTTGTCCTGTTGGAATACCTTCCAATTTCAGTTTCCTGCTAATGTGCATCCTGTGAGGCAAAAAGTGATGGTTGAGTACCCGGTCCTAACAACCTAGTGGGTGATCTGGATTGAATTCTGGGCTCCTGTCTTTGGTTAGCTGAGCCAGGACTGTTGTGGATGTCTGCTGAGATATTTCTCTGTATCTCTGCCTCAACAAAAAAGTGTATATATAAAATTAAAAAAATATTAGTCAATGCTAGAGGGTCTAAGAGATTAAGAAAGATATTCTCATTACTGCCAGCAAGGATGTAAATTAGCATAAGGTCTTGGGAATTGTGATTTGTATGCAAAACCTTAAAACAGCCAATTTTAGAAACCCATCCTAATGAAATATGCATAGAACAAGGTCTAGCATATGAATGTTTAATACGCATGTGCTAAATAAATGATAAAGTAATATTAAGTGAAAAGAATATTAAAATGTGATTACTGTGACTGTAATGACACATGACCAAATGGGAAAAGAAGTCATGGGCAATTTTATAAATAAAACAGCTTTATTGAGGTGTAAATTGACATACCAGAAAATTCACCCATTTTTATCTGTACAGTTCAGTTACTTCATTATACATTTTTGCAAATATCACCATAATCCAGCATCTTGGACAATCTTATTTGATCTTTTCTGTATCATAAATACAAGAAAGACTCCACTGAAATGTAGGTGGAGCTGAACCCTTAAAAACTACCTACAAAATTATTTCCTATCTAGTCATCTGAGTTTGCCGCCTCATTCGACACACGCATCTTCCTAGCACTCGATGGGCTTTAAAAGCAGCAGCAAGGGCCTTTGCTATCATCAGAGGTGAAACTGCAGGGGGTGAGCAGGCACGATACAGCACAGATTCTGTTCGGTGGATTACGGGGTAGGGTCACCGTTCTTAACTCTTGCGTAAATCAAAAAAAAAAAAAGGTTCCATGGAATAACGAGTACAGCCGCAGATCCTAACGGAAATGCAGGCACTGAACGGAACCAATCGTGCTAGCTGCAGACGCCCCATGCCCCACCGGGGAAGCCGGCCGCCCCGGTCCCCAGCAGAGGACCTCATTAGGATTTACTTAGCCCTCTACGACAGAAACCCCTTTGGGAAGAAGGCAGACTGAGCTCGCCTAGCGCCTAAATCCCCCAGTGCAGCCCAGGCTCCCGGCTCCCCGCCTACGGCCTCCTACCTGCAGAGAAGCAAAGCAGGGACACCCGGTGCCTCAAGCGGCCCAAGCCTAGCACTGTGGGAGCAAAGAACATGGCTTCATCGTCGGGGTGCGCTATCACCAGCAGGCTCCGGCTTCCTGCTCCCGGCAGGCCTGCTTGCTCCCGACTCTTCATTCCTTCGGAGGGGTCCCAAACCCAAAGGAAACCCCACGCCAGGACCACCACCGCCGCCGCCGCCCCACACACGAGACCGACCACCTCCATGCTGGGTAAGTGGCATTGCGCTTGCGCAGTGCCAAAGGCTGCCGCTGACCCCGACTCCGCCGGGAAAACCGCACCCGCTGCAATTGCGTTCCGCTTTTAAGTCCGTCCTGACGTGAGGCTTTAGAAATAGGCTTTACGGTTTTAACACGGACGCCGGACACTTCTTTTTCGAGCGCTCTCCATTACTATTATTGTTTTTCCCCCAGCAGTTGAGGATTAAGTGCCTGCTCGGTGTCTGAGCTGAACCGAATCCCTTACCACACAGTTTTCTACCCTTTTCCTTGGGTTTAAGAGGGAAGCGTTTTAAAACAACACTGCCATATCGTGTAGGAAGAGTTCTCCCGTCTTCTACTTGTTCTCTAATGCATTTCTTAAATCTTTGGACTTTTTTGTCATTATACGGCTAGACAGCCCGTTATCTCGACGAAAGTTTTCCAAAAAAACCCAGCTAGACACACCAACTTTCTCCTTGTTAACTTTGGGATACGTAGCGGTGGCTTTTCTCAAGGATAAGCGGACGGTTTACGAGGACCCCGTCTGGATATTTCACTATTAGAGCAGGGCTGAGAGGCCACAGGCTCCTCTTACAAGTTGCCGTAGCGTAGGGAGAAACATGGTGGACACAGCTGCCTCGCCCGGCAGTACACTGAGGACTCGGCGCGAATTATAGCAGGGCCCTGGAAATATCTCGGGTAGGTCGACCCCACGTGGGGCCCGGACTTCCCTCCCCGCCGACGGCCCGAGGAAGCCGTCCGTGGCCGATCCGCCGCGCCGCGGACGGGGTCGCAGGGCCCGCGCACGGCCTGGCGCGCTTCCCTTTCCCACGCCCGGGGGAAGGCCCCAAGCGCGCGGGAGCCGGCCGGCTCGCGGGCGGCGCCCCAGCCCGGGTGCACGATGGCTGCCGCGCCGGGTCCGGCTGAGGGAGGCGGCTGCCCCGGCCTAGGTCCGGCTGAGGGGGTCGCCGCCGCCGCCGCCAGGCCCAGGGGCAGACGTGACGGGAACCGAGGCGCAGCGCGACCCCGGGAGCTCGGCCGAGGTAGGAGCGGCGCTCAGCCAGCGGAGGGAGTCGGTCTCTCAACTCTCCGGAAGGAGGAGGAGCCGGCATCGGAGCCGCCTTAGCCGCGGCCGCCGGGCTTGGCGGGGGGGGGGAGGGAGAGGGGTTGAGTCAAGATGGCGGCCAAGGTGGCGAAGCAGCAGCAGCGGCGGCGACGGCGGCGGCTGGAGTGAGCTCCCGGCTCGCCTGCGCCGAGCGAGGTCCCGGCGTCGGGACGCGCGCCGGGGCCGCGTCCTGCTCCTCAGCCCGGGGGAGGCGCGCCGGCTCCCACGCTCCGCCAGCTCCCGGTGAGTAGGCCGTGGCGCCCCGCAGCCCGGCCTCCGGGCCCCTGCTCGCCGCGGGGCTTCCGAGGACTCCCCCAGGCACTGGCCTCCGGGGGGCCGGCTTCTCGCTCTTGGCGAGGGGGCTCCTCGGGCCCGGCCCGGGTCGAGACCCGGTCCCAGCCGCGCAGCCTCTACCCCTTCGGCCGCCCAGGGACGGAGTCGGGCGAGGCGGGGAGCTCGGGCTGGGCGAGTGGCGGCTGATGGAGTTTAGAAGAAGAATGGACTGCGGCCCGGCCGGTGCCGAGGTGTCCCGTGGGGAGGGGGCGTGCGGAGCCTGCAGGGCTGGCCGCGGCTGCCGAGCGGGGTGCCCGGGTGGGGCCGGCGCAGGTGGCGGGCCTGAGCGCATCCTGGGGCGGAGTTGGTGGCCGTCTTGCGAGCGTGGAAGGGGTTAGGGAGGGTGACAGCGATGGACAAGTGCGTGGAGAGCAAACTAGTTCACCTTCCTCAGCGGACGGCCCCAGGGTGTAATGGCGTAGGGATGGGTAGTGGTGGTGGCAAGCGTCCGAACCGTGTACCTTCCGCCGTTTATTATGGGTGTGTTTTCATGGCCCAAGTCGGAGGGTGCACCTCGTTTAGAGGGGGAAGGAGGGATTTGAGAAACTGTAATTGAGAACCCAGCCTTCGCGGGGAGGCGACCGGAATGGTTCCGTGTAGTCACGGATTGGAGGAATGGCTGGGAATAAGTGGTATTTGTGAAAAGTCTGCTCGCGAAGTGTCAGGCCACGGAACCTCGTCTTCAACAGAGTTCACCTGGGCGAGTAGTGGGATGGGTGATTCTAATCTTTGGGGGGTTGGTATATTCACCTGCATCAGATTTGCTTCCCTAATGATATCCTAATTATACTGAAATTTACATTCCTTGTGTGCAGCCTGGTGAGGCGGGGATGGGAGGCAGAACATGGCAGTGTGGAGAGAGCAACAGGCCTGGGATTTTCAAATGCCTGCGAATTCATTCGTTCGTTCAGTACGTCTCGATCAGTAGGGCTGGTGCTGGCTTACGTGTGATTGTCCCGTGGATAACTGAAGTGTCGGTGGCGTTACTGTATTTAATTTTTAGCAGTTTTTTGAAAATGTTTTGATGTGCGCTTTCATAAAGATCTTTTATTGGATGAATCAACTTGTACTTGCCTGGGCCCTGGAGCAGACCAGTTTTAGAATCTTCTTTAGACATGGGTAAAACAGAAGAAATAACCACGAGTTGCTGGAGAGAGCAGTCATGTGTGTTATTTTCTCATCCTGTTCTCCTCCAGTGGAAGTTTATTCTATTATTTATAGTACCCAGTTGCTTTGCCTTTCTTGTGCACACCTGTTAATGGAAATCAAGGTAGATATAGATGTATACAAAATATCATACACTAGGAAGTGACTACTAGTAGTACCAAAATACATTTACAAAAAGCTTTCCATATGTTGCCTCACCCTCCCCCCCCCCCCCCCGAGAAAATACTTATAATGCAAAGATTCCTGATTCTTTCTGTAACTGATTGTGACATTTTGTAATGTCAACCTTTGTGTGCTTCAGTTTCCTCATCTGTATTATTAGGAAAACATCTCTTCTCCTTGGGTTGGCTGTTGTGAGCCTGAGGGGAGTAAAGTTTTGAAATGGCTTTCAGCAGATTGAAAGGGTTATGTTGTAGGAGATTAGTAGCTCCCTCTGTGAGCTCCGGTAGGGTTATGTTGTAGGAGATTAGTAGCAGCTCCCTCTGTGAGCTCCGGTAGTGCTTTATCTGCACATCTCTCATGGTGCTTACACTTTCTGCCTTGTGTTGTAGGTATTTATGCACCTGTTTATCTCCTTTTGAGAGCCGGATAGACCTTTCTCTGATTTTATCTTTGTGTTCAAGGCACTAGGTAAAAGTGTGTGTGTGTGTGTGTGTGAGAGAGAGAGAGAGGGAGAGAGGAGAGAGGAGAGAGAGAAAGGGATGGATTGACACTGCAAGTTTTGGTTGAATGAGTAAACACAAAATTCTAGTTAGGAAAATATATTCACATTACAACTTAACCAGCGTACACCTGTTATCTGCTGTGACATATCTGTAGGGCTGTGATTTCCCTCTGACCTCTAGAGGAGTATTTTTTCAGCTGAATGACTTGTTAGATTTAAAAAATGAAGTGTTTGGCCTGTTCTTTTCATTTAAAGAAAAGCGTGAAATGTTGGAAATTGTGTTTCTTAGAATTTAATTGAATAAAAGTTTGTCCCAAGGCTATGTAAGTTTAGATTAGTCCTTCTTTTAAAAACGTTTAAAAAAAAATGTGAAATGGTGAGATTGTCTTGCCATTGAGGTCTTTGGATACAGATGAATGTCAGGCTATTTGTTACTTAGTTTTTGTTGTTGTTACTCAGTTTTAATTATATTTTGAGATCTTTTTTGTAGTCTCAAATTCTTTTGATGCCTGGGAATGATAGAGCTCTCACATATTTCCTCACTCTTTTACTTCACATACTGGATTTTACTAGAATATGATACAGAGCAGTAAAAAAAAAAAGGTTGGTCATATTTGTAGGTTGTACATTCATGTCTTTTTGTTAATTTACTTGTTTCATCACTGTGAGGTGCCTTTTATGTTCAGGGATGTCAGTAAATGATGCTAATGTATAAAGCATAGACAGGCAGAGCAGTTCAATACACAGATAGCTCAATCTGTGGATGGCCTAACGTTTTGTCCTTTGCAGGTTTGAGGGTATAAAAAGTACATTTGGATAGTTAAGAAAATGTTTTGTTTCTTTTTCTATCAGAACATCTTAAGAGTATTGAAAAACAATGAAAAGCTTCTCTAATGTAGCAATAATTGTATGTGAAGCATCTGTTTTTTATTTTGGTATTCTTATGGTGGTGTTCTTCCATGAACATTTGTACTGTTCTTCCCACCATTTTTTTCTTTTTTTTCTACCCGAGAAGCTTGTGTGGTCAGAATATTTCTTGGAGAGTCTTCAGATAAAACTTACTCTCACCTCCTCCTCCTTTGCATTTGAAAGTCAGACCATACAAAACACTGAGTGTTCCATGGCATTCTGAGTCCTTTTGCTTCTTCCCTGTGTGCTGCCATTACTTTTATTTAGCAGTGAACTCAAAAACAAACGGAACTGGTTAAATAAGATGCTAATAATTTATAGAATAGAGAGTCATGTAGATGATCAGGTTTCACATGTTTTACTTTTGGATAAACTGAGGGTCGCAGAGTAAACTGATTGCCTCAGCTGTTGTGTTGGGACAGGAGCAGAATCCAGGTCTGCTGGCATCCAGTTTAGTGCTCTTACTGTATACCACACCATCTATGGGATGATTCAGTGTAATGGTTGATGCTTGTAATTGTTGACTTAATAACAAAAATGGAAGTGGATGGGAAATGAGAAGTCACTTTATTTTTTTTTAAGATTTATTTATTTGAAAGTCAGAGTTACACAGAGAAGAGGAGGCAGAGAGCGCAAGAGAGAGATAGAGAGGGGTTTTCCTATCCGCTGTTCACTCCGCAAATTGGCTGGAACGGTTGGAGCTGTGCCGATCCGGAGCCAGGAGCTTCTTCTGGGTCTTCCACACGGGTGCAGGGCCCCTAGGATTTGGGTCATGCTTCCCCAGGCCATAGCAGAGAGCTGGATCCGAAGTGGAGCAGCTGGGTCTCAAACTGGTGCTCATATGGGATGGTGCCCATATGGGATGTTGATACTACAGCCACCCTGAGAAATTACTTTGGATATTCAGCTGAGGTGTGGAATTTAAGATATTTCTACAATTCAAATACAGTGTGAAGAAAATTGGCTTTAGGGGCCCCACACTGGGCATAGAGGGTTAAGCCTCCACCAGGCAGTTCTTGCATCCCATATGGGCAGCTGATTCCAGTCCTGGCTGCTTCACTTCTGATCCAGCTCCCTTCTAATGTGCCTGGGAAAGCAGCAGAGGATCCTTGGACCCCTGCATCCATGGGGGAGACTCGGAAGAAGCTCCTAGCTTCAGCCTGGCCCATTTGGGGAGTAAACTGGCAGATGGAAGTTCTCTCTCTCCCCTCTCCCATCTCTGCCTTTCAGATAAATAAATAAATCTTAAAAATAATTGGCCTTGATCAATATCTGTGTTATCATGATCAGTGGGAATTATCTATTTTGCCTAAATTTTGTCTGTGTTGACTAATATCTTAAAAATAAATGTCTTTGAGGTTGTCTTGACCTAATGACAGTCTTGAAATGTAAGTATTACAGTGACAGAAATTGTACTTTGGGGCCGGCGCCGCGGCTCACTAGGCTAATCCTCCGCCTAGCGGCGCCGGCACACCGGGTTCTAGTCCCGGTCGGGGCGCCGGATTCTGTCCCGGTTGCCCCTCTTCCAGGCCAGCCCTCTGCTGTGGCCAGGGAGTGCAGTGGAGGATGGCCCAGGTGCTTGGGCCCTGCACCCCATGGGAGACCAGGAAAAGCACCTGGCTCCTGGCTCCTGCCATCGGATCAGCGCGGTGCGCCGGCCGCGGCGGCCATTGGAGGGTGAACCAACGGCAAAGGAAGACCTTTCTCTCTGTCTCTCTCTCTCACTGTCCACTCTGCCTGTCAAAAAAAAAATTAAAAAAAAAAAAAAAAGAAATTGTATTTTGGTACCTCTGAGACCCAAATAGGCTAAATTATTTTAGAAACTTACTTATTGCTTTCTTCACTTACTCTGTCTTCCTGAATTTTTAAAGTGTGAGGGACTTGAATAGTTGTATAGAAAATTAGATGACAGTCAAACACATGAAGTCTATCTTTAATGCTATGTTGAAAAGCTTACTTTTTTACTTTAAATGATGTCCCTTGTTTTTTAATTTATTTGAAGGGAAGAGAGATTCATTCTGCAAATACCTGCAGTAACTAGGACTGGGCCATGCTGAAGTTTACTGGAACTCTGTCGGGGTCTCCCATGTGAGGGTTGGGGACTGGAGTACTTGAGCACCTGCTGCCTCACAGGGAAGTTGGGAGTTGGGAGTGGAGCCGGGACTTGAACCCAGGCACTGTAACTTGAGATGCAGACATCTTAATGACTAGGCCAGATGCCTGCCCTGAAATGATCATCTGTAATATCAGCTTTCTATAGGTACTCAACGCTGTAACTTTTATTTCAAAGGAGAAGGCAGGGGCCAGGTTTTGGTGCAATGGGTTAAGCCACAGATTTCTTTTGAAGTATTTATTTATTTGAAAGGTAGAGTTACAGAGAAGGGGAAAAAGACAGACCTGGGCTGTCTTCCTTCCCTTTCCAAGATGCATTAACAGGGAGCTGGATTGAAAGTGGAGCAGCCAGGACTTGAAGTGGTGTTTATATGGCATGCTGGTGTAGCAGGTGGTGGTGTTACCCACTGCACCACACTGCCAGCCATAGATTATTTTTA